ATAGCAAAGGAAGGGAAAAGTACTTAAGCAGTTGGGAATTGAAACTTAACAACAGCAATAATTAAATAATGATCCTTGATTAAGTCTCTTAATGTTCTTAGTGTAGTCTACTTGCATGCCACATTATATTATAATCAGACTTAAACTGTATTTGGAATAACATTTTGAGAGTATTTAACAGAAATTTCTGTTTTTAGTAACCAAGGCAATAATGTTCATCCAAGTCAAAACCCGATATACAGAATTGTGTATCTTTGTGTATTCTACTTTGTGTACCAAGTTATATTGAAATCAGACCAAAACTAAAAGAGACGTAGCATTTTAATAGAATTTCACAGAAAATTCTTTTTTTAGTAACCATGGCAACACCGTTCATCGAAATCAAAAACCGGTAAAAAGAATTATGTACCTTAGTGTAGTCTACTTGTGTGCCAAGTTATACTGAAATCAGACCAAAACTGTAGCATTTTGAAGAACTTCACAGAAATTTCTGTTTTTAGTAACCATGGCAACACCGTTCATCAAAATCAAAAACCCGTAAAATGAATTATGTACCTTAGTGTAGTCTACTTGTGTGTAAAGTTATACTGAAATCAGACAAAAACTGTAGGAAGAGTAGCATTTTGAAAAAATTGTTTACAGACAGACGGACAGACGCCAGACGCATTACTATCACATAAGCTCTTCTGGTCTCTAACTAGTAGAGCTAAAAATGTGCACCGTATACAATAGCATATTCTTAGAAAAAGTCTTCAAGTATACAGTTAAATAATTATCATGACAAAAAAAGAACCAAAATGGTTGCATCAACATCAGTACAAATAAAAGTTTTTAACATTGGGAATTAAAAAATAAAAACATTATCTCTTCAATGATATTGTCTTGTTTGTTGCAAAACTAATAGCATTTATATTTCATATTTTTCCTACCTCATAAGTGATTTTCAAGCTGCTCTGTAGGAGGATTGTGGGAAATTTAGGATGCACTTCTGCTGTCATTCAGAGTCTGAAATCTTCATGTGGCTTCAATGTGTTTATTTCCTAAAAACAAAAATTGTGTTACTCCAGTTTGACAAAAGAAACCTGCAAAAATCTGAACATTGATCTAAAATTTCCCAAAAATCTTTCACAGAAAGAAGAAAGAACTAAGTGATACCTTTTCCAGCTGAGGCAGCCAGGCTGTTACAAGATGGAGGTTCTTCAGACACAGCCATTCTCCATTCTGAGCACACTCCCTCAGACACTGTATGTCAGACTGACCTTGACCCATAGCAACCTGTCAAGAAATAGTTCAATACCCCAGTAAGATAAAATCTAACCAAAATAGAGAAAGCACTTATGCAAGTAATAAGACACTTTTTAAATAGTTTTCACCAATTTTTGAGCCAATAGAAACAAAGGCCCAGGGGCCACATTCATCAGAAGAACTGAAAATTTACTGGGGGGTGGGGGAGCTTGAATTTTAACCCCCCCAGGGGTTCATGATTTTAACAGACTAGAATCTACACTACCTGAGGATGATTCCTTATAAATATCACTAAGCATGGCTTTGAAGTACTTGAAAAGAAGATTTTAAAAGGTTTCCCCAAATATTCCTATGGAAAACTTATCGGCCATTTGGCCCCACCCTACCCCCAGGGGTCAACAACAATTTGAACAAATTTGAACAAATTTGAATCTACACTACCTAAGGATGATTCCACAATAGTTTCATGTGGAATGGCCACGTAGTTCTTGAGGAGAAGATTTTTAAAGATTTTTCCTATATATTCCTATGTTAAACTTTGATCAGCCATTTTGGCCCCACCGTACCCCCAGGGGTCATGATTTGAACAAACTTAAATCTACACTACCTGAGTATGATTCCATATGAGTTTCATCTTTCCTGGCCCAGTGGTTCTTGAGAAGAAGATTTTTTAAAAATGCCATAATTTTTTCTCTAATTCATAATTATCTCCCCTTGGAAAAGGGCGTGGCCCTTCATTTGAACAAATTTGAATCCCCTTTACCCAAGAATACTTTGTAGCAAGTTTTGTTGAAATTGACCCAGTGGTTCTTGAGAAGAAGATGAAAATTAGAGAAACAACGAAGACAACGACAACAAAGACAACAGACAAATTTTTCAGAAAAGCTCACTTGAGCATTTTCAGGTGAGCTAAAAATGAAATTGAATTCAGTGACAAACCTGGTGGTATTTATCACCACCTAAAGTCTGAGCAGCCAAGTCCTGTAACTCTTATGAGGAGTCAGCACCAGGGGAGATAATGATCAGAATAGGCTCGGATGGCAAAGTCTCTGTTTCCAGGAGTCTCTCGAGATTCACAGAAGGGGGAGAAAGCTCCTTCATTCCTGGAGTATAAAATTAGAAATCTTTTATGACTATCTTAGTAAGCTAAAACTGTTAAGTCAAAGGGAGATAAAAGATATGGAATATGAAAATTGGATGGAAAAAAAAATTATGAGTAAAGATTTATAATACTGTAGATTTCTTAATTTTCACCACTCCTTATTTTTGCGATAGTCATTAACTCTTGATTAGCGGGACAAAATTTGGATGAATTGTGTTTATTGCTCTACTTAAACCCAATGAATACTATTATATGTGAGAATTAAATTTTTGCAAGCACATCGTCTTGCGTATTTACGTGAAAATAAAGATATACAGTTATGGATATCCAAGTCTGCACTTTTAATGCAACCACAGTTAAACTTCATTTATCTTAAGGCATTCACATAAGAACTATGTACAAGATCTTCACCAAATTTTGTAGAAAGAATTGTGCAGGAACTGGTAAATTGCTTATTCTTTACATAGCAGTATGTTACCTAACTCAAAAAGAAGCTAACCTAAAGCCTTGCAGGCAAACAGTCCCATGGCAGTCTGTAGTCTGTCTGGCCTGACTGCCTGGACTACAAGTAACTGCTGGAATAGAGTGACTCGCTTCTCAATCATGAGGGGAACTCCTTCTCACACTTGTTACTATGGTAGAAGTTAGACCACAGAAACTCATCATCAAAGTTCAGCACCTGGTACAACTTTGGGAAATTGTTCTGCAACAAATATTTACATTTTTTTAAAAATAAGAACTTTTGTGTTTGAGAATCCCCCTTCCCCCTTTAACTGAGGTCAGAAAATTAAACTTGACTGGTTGCTTTCGTTCTGGACAAAGAAGAAAAGTCACAATCGTCCATTTTTGGCCTGTGATTTTTTGAAAAATCAGTACAACTCAATTTTAGTTTTAAAAAATGTTAAATTTCACTTGGACCCTTGGTGACTTCATATCAAATAAAAATGACGTAATTTTGTCTCTTGTCTATGTAATATGACGTCATGAATTTCGTCATTTTCCTCAAATCTGGAAAAATTCTCTAAAAATGACAAAAAAATTAAGCTGTTTTTTATTATTTTGCATAGCCCCCAACCTCTGATCTAAATTATTTAATTATAAAATGAAAGAACAATTTCAGAAAATTCTAGTCCATGGAAAATTTTTTGGATCGCGGGGTGGGCTCATATTTTTATCAAAAGTTAAAGATGCTCAATTTCACCCATTTTCTTAAAAAATCAAGAACATTGCAGTTTCACAACGTCGGAGTTTCCAAACTTTTGACTCTCATACAATTTTTTTTTACATGAACTGAAGGCTCTAAGTCTCTACTTTATGTTGATGTTCGAAATGGGACCTTAGGACTTGGTCAGTGAATTGTTATATTGACAAGGCCATTTTATGGAGTTTGTGAACCTACCCACCTCTTTGTTTAAGAAACTAACACAAGAGAGAGAAAAAAATTCTAATGCTTCATTTTCTAGTGAATAGAAAACAGAAGCTTGTTCAACAAAGCCAACATTTCTGTTGAAGGGATAAAGAATTTTGGAGAGTCCTTGCGAACATTCATTATGTTAAAAAGGCCTCTAGTTTACCATGAGATTGGTGACAGCAGTGTGCCTCTCTTGATCAACCCAGGAGGGTAATCCCCGCCCTCCCTCCGACTTCACATCAGACACCAGGATTCCTGTGAAACCCTTCCAGTCCTGTAAAACAGTCAACAAATCAAAAAATTCAGAAGTACAGAGAGCCGGGCTCATTTACAGAGTAGAATGAATTTCTTATATGAATCATACGTATTTATATTCTGATGAAAAAAATTATTTTAAAACTATCAATATAAATGATAAGACACTGACAGTGAGTTTTTCAATCCTAATACCATGGTCCGATTTTGTCAAAATCAGAATGAAAACCGTAGCTGAAATAAACAAACAAGTCTATATTCCCTCTCCTGACAAACCCGTATGTGTGAGAACTATTGATTATCAAAAATCCTTACGCTAATGAACCATGTTCTTTCCTACTTAGAACTGAAGTTTTCAAAGTCATTACTACTTAAGTTTTATAAAGATAAAACTTCATTTTACTTTTGTTGATTTAAAAATTTAGCGTTTGTATTATCTCAAAAGCAGTTGAGAGCAAGAACTATATTTTTACTCATAACTTTAAAAGCGATTATTAAAGATTCTGCCTTGAACAGGATGACATAAGCTGGCAGTTGCTCTTTGAGAAATAAGCCTGGCTAAAAAATCAACATTTTTACAGAACTTTTTGAATATTCCATTTTTAACAAATATTTTTGCAACAAATAGAGAGTTTCTCCCCTTTGAAACATTGCTTAAAGCTAATGTACAAAGGTTTTATTCAAACTTCTCTGGTTTCATTTGAAATGCACCATGTGGTTCTTGGGTAAACATGAATGTGATCTGTTTAAAGAAGAGCGGCAGACGGTATTCATATAACACCAGAGCCTGTAGTCTCTGAGTCAGGGCTTAAATTTGTGGTCAGTCCCAGTGCCGTCCTGTAAATGTATAGTCAAGTAAAGAGTTAGCTTAATCACAGCTTCACCTACTATATACTTTTTTGAACTCATAAAAAAAAATCAATATGACAAGAAGAGCAACAAATAACATTTTTATAATCAGAGAATTGATCACCTTCAACAAATGTTAATGTAGTAAGAAAAAAATTAACTATGAAAAGTTCTGGACAAAAATGAAAATATTTAAGCAATTTTGCCCTGAGAAACTTTGAACAATATACAAAATTTTAGTTTAAATAAAATTTAAATTTCACTTTTGTACTTCAAAATATCAAATAAAAATGCGTAATTTGAGTCTTGTTATTTGATGTCAAAATAAAGAAAAATTCTTATACCAATTTTTGGATTATGTACATCAAAAACCATAACTTATTACCTGACTTGTGTGCCAACTTATTTTGAAAAACCATGTGAGTTATTTGTTACTTAAAGGAATTTCACTCTATTTTTAGTAACCATGGCATTCAGAAATAACCGATGCAACTGTATCTTACTATGTACCAAGATCTACAAAAACCAAATTTTTTAGAAAGAAAGTATCAAAATCAAAAACCGATGCTAATGTATCTTAGTGTAGTCTACTTGTGTGCCAAGTTATACTAAAATCAGACCAAAACTGTCTTTAAAGGAATTTAGAATCTATTTTTGTATGGCAACACCGTTCATCGAACTCAAAAAATGCACTATTCATGTATTAACTTTAAAAATGTAGAAGTCAGTAAAGAATTTCACAGAAAATTTTATTTTTAAATTGGCAACATTATCATCCATACAAAAACAGCAATATGGTATCTTAGTGTAGTCTACTTTGTGCCAAGTTATATTGAAATCAGCACCAAAACTTTAACCTTTACTTAAAGGAATTTCAAAGAAAATTGTATTTTTACAACCAAGCAACACCGATCTCGAAATCAAAAATCGATGTATCACTATTCTTGTATCCTGTCTTTACTTGTGTGCTACAAGTAATATGCAAAATTGTAAACTTAACGACTTCTCAATCACTGAGGGGAACTCCTTCTCACCTCTTCTGGTCTCTGACCAATTGTCTAAAAATGACAAAAAAATTAAGTTTATTAATATTTTGCATAGCCCCCAACCTCATCTAAATTATTTAATTATAAAATGAAAGAACAATTTCAGAAACTTTGGAAAATTTTTTGGATCGCGGGGTGGGCTCATATTTTTATCAAAAGTTATAGATGCTCAATTTTACCCATTTTCTTAAAAAATCAAGAACATTGCAGTTTCACAACGTCGGAGTTTCCAAACTTTTGACTCTCATACAATTTTTTTTTACATGAACTAAAGGCTCTAAGTCTCTACTTTATGTTGATGTTTGAAATGGGACCTTAGGACTTGGTCAGTGAATTGATATATTGACAAGGCCATTTTATGGAGTTTGTGAACCTACCTCTTGTTTAAGAAACTAACACAAGAGAGAGAAAAAAATTCTAATGCTTCATTTTCTAGTGAATAGAAAACAGAAGCTTGTTCAACAAAGCCAACATTTCTGTTGAAGGGATAAAGAATTTTGGAGAGTCCTTGCGAACATTCATTCTGTTAAAAAGGCCTCTAGTTTACCTTGAGATTGGTGACAGCAGTGTGCCTCTCTTGATCAACCCAGGAGGGTAATCCCCGCCCTCCCTCCGACTTCACATCAGACACCAGGATTCCTGTGAAACCCTTCCAGTCCTGTAAAACAGTCAACAAATCAAAGAACTCAGAAGTACAGAGAGCCGGGCTCATTTACAGAGTAGAATGAATTTCTTATATGAATCATATGTTTATATTCTGATGAAAAAAAATTATTTTAAAACTATCAATATAAATGATAAGACACTGACAGTGAGTTTTTCAATCCTAATACCATGGTCCGATTTTGTCAAAATCAGAATTAATCTGGTACCGTAGCTGAATGTAAACAAAAAGGCCAGTCTGGTTCCCTCTCCTGCTTTACCTCGTATGTGTAGAGAACTACAATAACACTGATTATCAAAAATCCTTACGCTAATGAACTATGTTCTTTGACTTAGAACTGAAGTTTTCAAAGTCATTACTACTTAAGTTTTATAAAGATAAAACTTCATTTTACTTTTGTTGCTATATTTAGCATTTGTATTATCTCAAAAGCAGTTGAGAGCAAGAACTATATTTTTACTCATAACTTTAAAATGGCGACTATGGGGTTGACTTCCTGCCTTGAACAGGATGACATAAGCTGGCAGTTGCTCTTTGAGAAATAAGCCTGGCTAAAAAATCAACATTTTTACAGAACATTTTGAATATTCCATTTTTAACAAATATTTTTGCAACAAATAGAGAGTTTCCTCTTATTTTGAACATTGCTTAAAGCTAATGTACAAAGGTTTTATTCAAACTTCTCTGGTTTCATTCCATGCACCATGTGAAGGGTAAACATGAGTCGATCTGCTTTGAACAGAGAGCGGCAGACGTATTCATACACCAGATTCTGTAGTCTCTGAGTCAGGGCTCGGATTCTGTGGTCAGTCTCACTGCCGTCCTGTAAATGTATAGTCAAGTAAAGAGTTAGCTTAATCAGCTTCACCTCTATATACTTTTTCTGAACTCTAATAAAAAAACATCAATATGACAAGAAGAGATAAAAATATATTTAGAATTGATACAAATAATATAAATCTATAGAAAAAAATTATATGAAAATTCTATTTTTAAAATGTCAGAAGCAAAGAAAAATTGATTGAGAGAAAATTTAAGATATAAGCTGAAATACATTACTTGTTTGGTCTTAAGAGCTTTCTGGAAGATTCTCAGGAAGGCAGCCAGACTGAATCTGTACATGTTGTTGATTTTAGCCAAGTCACTGGTGACAAAGTACATCCTACTACCACTCTCTGCTAGAGGCAGGTAGGTCTTTCTCTCCTAAAATAAAATGATCAATAAATCAAAAGATTATTGTTTTACAGGAAAAATTGATATCGGTAATACATGAGGAATTATATGTTTCACTTGATTTTCCAAAAGAAATTAATTCACATGAAAAGGACACAAAATGGGTACATTGTCAGATGTATTTTACTGAAAAAAAGACTGAAGTAAAATTTACATGAAAAATTGTGTGTGATAAAAAAAATTAATTTGAAATTCTTCATGTTCTTTCCAAGTGAAATTTACATAAACTACATTAAACTTGCATATTTAGCTGTGATAAAAATACCTTTAGATTTCTTTATAAGAAATATGCAGAAATTAGGTATTCAAGAAGTTCTCACAAAGCCACCAAGATAATTAAGACCATTACCTGAGACAAAGTCCCTACTATAATGATTTTATTAAAAAATAAAGTAAGTTTTTTGTGAATGTTGCAGGATAACCTCCAAGGTTGAGAAATGTTCCTGAGGCTTTTATATTTCAAAGAACATTTCTCGACCTCGGAGGTTATCCTGCATCATTCACGACAACAAGGACTTTATTTCTATTCTACTAAGATCGATGAAATATGGCTGATCATTTCCTCTATAGAGAAACGAATAGTTCCATTTAACACCAGAGGGAATTACATTGTGTTAAAATTTGAAGCATCTGCAATGAGTAGTTGCTGAGAAAACTGCGACGAAAGTTTGTTACGGACGGACAGACAGACGGAAGGACAGACAGACAGACACACAAGGGGAAAACAGTATACCCCCCTCTCCTCTCAGAGCAGGGGTATAAAAAGGAATATTCCTCAAAACAAAGGTCAGAAGAATATAGAGATCACCTGCCCAGTCTAATTTCTTGTTCCTATAAGAAGTCTAAATAAAGAAAAGTTTCAAGACATTGTATGGCCAAAGAAAAATGGAATGTTTGCAGATATAGATGCCAAGAGTCGAAGCAGTGAGATGAAGATTCTACAACCCGAGCCAAATGAGGTCCAGCCAGTAGACCCCTACATGGAATCAGTGTCAGATGACCCAAATTCAATATTATACAAAGTACTTCACCAAGAAAAGACGGCTAAATTGTGGAACAATTCATTTAAAGAACACTCACACATAAGTTTCCAGACTGTGATGGTCTACTGGACTGGTATCGGCATAGGGAGGAAAAACGAGGCCTGGCATGGATCCTTTCCATCCATTGTAAGAAGTGCCACTATACCAGTCACCAAGAAAAACTTTACAAAGAGGTGAGAAGACCTGGCAAGTGGCAAAGAGCTGCACAGCTGAATGAAGTCATGGCTGTCCGTCACCTGGGAACCAGTCTTACACCAGAGGGTATGCGTGGTATGCTTCTTGGTGCAAATACTGAACCAGCCTCAGTTGCCAACATGCAACAGCCCTGGAACAAGTGGGGAAAACTATTACATATGTAAATAAAAACAGTATGAAGAAAATTAGGAAGAACATTGAAGAACTTTTAAATTAAAAATGTGGACTTCCTGATACCCCCATCAGAACGGAAGGAGATGCTTGGTTCAATAATGCCACATTCAGTGCCATTGGAAAAACCCCATTCCAGGCTGCCACCCAAGTGACTTATACACCGTAAGTGAAAATGTAACTCAGAGGTAAAATGTGGTAGCAGTTCTCTGTAGAAATAAACTATGCAAGAAAGGCGCACACCTACGAAGCAAAAGAAAGGAAGTTACCTGCCCAGGGCACGAAGACTGCACTGCAATCACTGCAACATATGAGAAGAGATGGGCTGCTAATTGTGTTGGTGAGTTACAAAGTGATGACTGTCCACTAGTCATATCCCATTTCATCAGTGATGGAGACAGTGCCACTGCATCTGGTGCATCTGAAAAACAAGGACCAATGATTGAAAACCTTAAGGACTTGCATCACTTCTTTGACTCTCAAAGAGAACAGACTGCTAAGGCTCTATTCAGCAATCACATATTTCCGGGAAGAACCAAGGCTATAAGAGAATCCATGCAGAGAAGATTTGCCTTGGATCTAAAGCTTCGAGGCATTAATTTACCACTTTTACCACTTCAATGCACTTCATTGTATGAAAGCCGAAGAGTTAATCCTCTTAAATTATGACCAAGTTTTAAGTTTTTTAGAAGTGGGTCAAATTCAAAGTTCAAAGTTCAAGGATAAAAATTAAGTCTAAAGAATAATACATGTCAAAACCTGTATCTGTCTATCACACCCCATATCAACCTGAGACTCCAATATCTTGGTCGAGGGTTGATATTGGATGCGATACAGATTTTGCCATTGTATTGTATTGTTTTTATTATCTGAAAACAGTTTACATGATGTCATTAAATGTTTTTGTGACATCAGTAATTAGGCACCTGAATTTTTTTTTATAAACTTCATAAACAAATAGAAAAAGACCTGAAGTACTCCAAATAAAAAATACAGAGATGTTCTGGAAAGATGTAAAGGGGTGTGATAAGGGTGAAATAAGGGTGCTGATACAGGGTGAATACACTGTGTAATAGATAGTTTTCGATAGGCCTGAATTTAGCGAAAGTTACCTCCCATTGGTCGCCATATTGGAGGTCGACTCGGTGATTTTCCCTCTTTGTCTTACCAAGTTGAAGAGGTTGTTGCAGGAATATTTGGTGGAATTTCTTTAATAAATAATTTTTTTTAACTAAAGGAGGCTTCCAAAAATTTATATACTTCAGAAAAATAATGATTTTTAATTCAAAATAGCTAATATAAAAATTTTCAATTGGTTGTTGAATGAAGGAATATGAGTATTTGGACCTCCAGTATGGGGGTCAACGGGAAATAACTCTTGCTAAATTCTAGCCTATCGAAAACTGTCTATACAGTTCATCATATCAGGGATGCAAAATACCTGTATTATATAACAAATATATAATAAAATGAAATAAAAGCCCTATTACTATATGTTCAAAAGTAATGGCAAATCTAATTTTTTGACAGTGCTTCGAACCCTCAGGTCAAGGTCAAAGAGCATTTTCCTATCTATTTTAATGACTTACCATCTCAGCTCTGACTGTCACTCAAGTCATGATTCTTCTAAGACATGATGCTTGTAGTTTCCCCTTGGAGCCTCTACAATACACATTTCAGACTATTAATATTATTTTTTTATTAGGTCTATCACAAGAGATTGCCTTTGGTTCATTTTTTCAACATAAAACTCTTTCACTTTGACATTTTTTGTTTTTTTTTAACAATGTTAATTGAACTATGAGAAAATTCAAAGTAAAACTGTATTCCTTTCCTATTTATATCGTCCATCAACATTTGTTTGTCGGATCTCCGACGCCGACATTGTATTCACTGAGGATCAACTTCGTTTTTTTTTTTCAATATTGGCTTAAATTCGGCCCATTCTGTTGTTTGGTTATATCTATTTGCGTATATATTACTATTTGTTTTCAAATACTTTTATTTTACTTTGTTATAAAATAGTTTCCAATTTACCTGTAACAAATTTTGACTGTCGTTTGATCTTCATTTCCCGCGCTGTCAGAATAAATGGAGTTTGACACTTCGATCCCGATGCAATTTAAGAGTAAATAAGGATAGATTATAGCAAGGGTATAGGTATATAAAAAAAAAACCATGGTGCATGTTAAATTCAACGAATACAAATGATTCTTCATGTCTTTCTCGCAAAATGATTTTGCCAAAATAGATATTTCTTTTTTTTCTTCAAATAGGCCTAATTATTTTTTGTCTATGTGTTTACCCTTCATTGATAATAATAACAGGGACCGATATGTTGATACTACATCATGTATAAGTCCCTGATAATCATTTTAAAACAGTAAATTTTAATTTTGTACAGTGAAAAAGTACGTCAATATCACGTAAGGGAAAGAGGTCGGCCCGAAGTATAACTAAAATAAAAATATATATGGGAATAGGAACTTGGAATTTGTTGACAAGAAAATAAAAACCCTCAGATGTCGAACCCCGGAAAACAGCTTTGGTAAAAAACATGCCGGACACCCAAATCACAATATTAAAGTTTAGCCTTGTTAATCTATCTTGTAAAAATACTCACCTCTGTTGGTCGACATCTTCTCTATTTGAATTAGAACTCACAAATGTTATGGACACCAAAACCAGAGACTCAGTCTCCAGTGCTTTGCATCGAACATTCCCTTGGTGTAGCTATTTTAGGTCTAGCAGCTCAAAAGCGCTCGTGCATGAATTACCTGAACAGTTACCGATAGACTCTAGTCGCTATGTTTACATGCACACAAATCTCGTGCTACTCACATTGATTTCAGTGTTAGCTTGTGGAGCGGATCCAGGAATTTTTCCAGTGGGTGTCCACCCAAGTTACAACAAACTCCAATCCCATAAATTTCTTGACTAGCAAAAAAAAAAAAGTTCAACTTCCACGTTGAAAACCTATTTCTTGTTTGGGGTGGGGGTCGTTGGATTATAAATCTTCAAATATTTGACTTTTCACATCAACTTAACACAAATCTGTTTTTGAAGGGGATCGGCGTTTCTAGAGGGGGGAAGGTACTTTTAGTTGGGTTGTATGGTGGCATATTTCTGCCCCTTGTGTGCAAGTTATTTTTCTATGTTGACATGCAATTTAGTTATGTTAACATGCAACTTATTTATGTTGACATGCGAGATAAATATGTAAACATGCAACTTATTTATGTTGACATGCAACGTATTTATGTAAACATGCGACATATTTATGTCGACATGCAACTTATAAGTTGCATGTCAACATATTTATCTCGCATGTCAACATAACTAAGTTGCATGTCGACATGAATAAGTTGCATGTCAACATAAATAAGTTACATGTCAACATAAGTAAGTTGCATGTCGACATAAGTAAGTTGCATGTCGACATAAATAATATGCCTGTCAACATAAATAAGTTGCATGTCAACATTCATAAGTTGAATGTCAACATAAATAAGTTGCATGTCAACATATTTATCTTGCATGTTAACATAAATAAGTAGCATCTAGCATGTTTAATGTCACATTTGGGCAATATTTGAGATTTTTGAAGATTTTTTATAATTTTTATTTGATTGCAATTTTCTTGCATGTCAACATATTTATGTTGCATGTTGACATAACTATCTTGCATGTCAACATATATATCTTGCATGTCGACATATTTGATAGAAAAATAACTTGCACACAAGGGGCAGAAATATGCCACCATAGGGTTGGTATATTTACGTATGTTAACATTTAC